GTTGGTAAAGTAAGTCGTAGGGATCAGAATTGCGCGCGCGCATGTGTGCGTCCGTAAGTTGTCGGGCGACTCGTAAAAAATAATAAGGTAAGTCGAAGCGACTGGAATTGAGTCGCCGGGCGGGCTCGCGTAAGGACGTTTAAATATTTTTTTCATTAATTTAATCCGGTTCGGTCTCTAATCTCATTCACCCGCCCTACGCGTATCTCTGTTTACTGTATTGCTGCAAACACGGCGGAGGAGGACGCTTTCGAAAGATTTAACTCGTACGAGAAACAGGCCGAGTTTGAAAATCACGCGCTAATACCGGCTTGTATTTTATTTCTGGCTCCGCGCCGTTTTCATCGAACGCAACTGCATTGTTCGCGCTGATGTACCGAGAAAGGGTTCCACGAGCTCGCCGGCTCTTTATTATTCCGTCGAGCATTATTCGAGAAAGGGACGGAATATTAAAAGGTAGCTGCCCTATGGATATCGCGCGCACGCCCGTTCCCTATGAAAGCGCGTTCGTAAGTTTACCTACGTGAGCGTACTTGAAAAACACACTTGACATAACGGTGCATCATGACGCTCACACGAAGTGTCGCGAGAAGCTGCGTACGTCGGAAATGCAATTATGTTTTTTTGCAAAAACTTGAAGTCAAGTTCGTTTAAAATTAATCCGACATTGTTATTTCAATAAATTCTATAAACTTCGCTGTTCTACATAATATTTTGTATAAATTTTGATAAACATTTAATTCTCATACAATTAACTAATTTATACTTTGTAAATTTCAACAGAAGAGACTCGATTTCAAGGTAACGCGAGATTTTGGATGCAAATTTTATTATTATTTTATTATTATTTATCGTAACGGAATTGCGTATCTAAATAGTACATTAATCACATAGATACGAAATAATCGCAAAGTTTGTGCAAGAGTGTCACGCCATAAATTGCGAGACACTTCTACATATATTGATAGCATCACGTTGATAATTAGCGTTTGTGTAAATCCGATGCCAAAGTGGGAACGCACTTCGCGATAACTAACACCTACTAAAACCTATCGATTATTTATCATAGGCGCGCGTAGAAGCACATAAAATCCCGTTAACCACTTTACGAAATAAAGGAGGACGCTATCAATTCCCGAACGTACCTTTCGCCAGAGACTACTAAGATAGCGCGTGAATCACGTGTGTTTAAGGATTAAATTTCACGGTGCATCCGCGTTGCATCCCTAATAGATTCCTCCGCGCTACACCGACATTTATGAAAGCCGCGGCGAACTCCGCGGAAAAACGCGCAGCGGCGTTTTACACGCTCGCAACCCCGCTGTGATTTAGCAACTATCGCCTTCGGTCTCGGCAGGTGACGATAAATGCCGCAAATTGACCCGTAAATTAGACACCGCTCGTCCATACTTGCACGCTTCTTTTTTTACTCATCGCGCAATCGCTGAGTATATTAATTCCCTTTTTCTTTTGCAATAATATAATTTGACGATATATATATATATATATATATATATATATATATATATATATATAT